TGATGCTGCTGGAGTTGTCCGTCTGCTGAGTTTCTTCGGTCTTGGAGGTACTGCAGGGCGGGCACGAACTGCGATTCTGGCACTGCGTCGTGGCAGTGCCCCGGTGTCCTGTTCTGTCGACATCAGTCTGACCTGATGCGGTACTTGAGAAGTCCCGGTAATCACAGAACACGGTGGGGTAGGGAGAGTGGAAACAGGGGTTGAACAATCAAGCAATAGACATACAATCCCCTGTCCCACTGATGGACTGTAGACACCTAATCAAACGGAAAAAAATAATTTCCCGTAAACCCTTTGAAAAATTCGTAATAAGGAATTTATAACGATTTAATCAATAAAATTTAATTAATGATAATTCACGAAATAAATCCGAGTTTGTAAATAAAGATCACCTAAATAACGAATTTGAAAGGTCTTATGATTAGGTCTCTTTGAAATCAATATGAGACCGGGAGTTCACCGTTTAATAAGTGGACTGCCCGGTAGTTGCAATTTAAGGTCAGATACGGCTTAGTGTGCTAAAAAATTTCGAAAAATTTCAGAAGGAAACCGTTCGAAATTTCAAAAAAATACGAATTTTCGAGGCTCCCACCGTCAAAATCCGATTTTTAAAAGCCTAAACCTATTTTCGGAATTTCTCAAACAAGGAGAACGAAAAAAAATTTCGCGAAAATTTCGGTCCCAACCCTAATTTCCGCGTTTCGGCAAAATCTCCGGATTTTCGGTCCCAAAACGTTCGGGTTTCCCCCAAGTTGATCTAAAACCAAAAGATTCTCCTAACCCTAATTCCCATACTGAAAGACAACGAAAATCTCAATAGAAAACGAAATGTAGGATTTACAACAGAATGCCGAAAACGGAATGCTGAATAAACATCAAAACCCGAATTTCAAACATGATACTGATTCAACCCTAATTACGAATACCTACTCAGAAATCCGAATCAAACAGAATGTTGGATTAGTATCAATCTCTCGGATCTCATTTAAACAGCATACCGTGTATAACAGCAATCCGAATTTTAAAGTCCGAATACTGAATTGAAACGGAAATGCCGAAGTAGTGAGAATACCGAAAAGAAAAAAAAGAAAATTTGCAACTTTGAACTTGATAATACTTCAGCGCCGATTTAGAAGATCAAACGTGATAACCTAATTCTAAAACGGTCTTACCTGGTGAGCAGATCAGTTTTGGTCTGCTCCGATACCAAAACTGTTACATACTTCAATGAGTATGGGCAGAACCAAAGATCAACCAATATAGGATGAGCATTTATGCAGCGGAAGTCTGATAACGAACTGACTCACATAGACTGACTCACGTAGACTGACCTACATGGCATCACTCCACACACATACAATCATGAGATGGTGGGGTCTGGGTCATGCATAGACGATACCCAGATCCCGTACACGCACACACAGATGAAAGGTGGGAGGAGAGACGAAGGAGGTAGGAGGTAGATCACACCGATAGGTCACAAGATAGAGTCCGGTAGGTCTCCGAAATAGTAGTCCAGAATGTCATA